GAGGCAAAAAGAGTTCCCCTGTTCAAGTGGCCTAGGGGTCCGGACTTGTTGGTTGCGTGTGCTTTCTTGGGGTCCGAGCCAAACGTCTTTTGAACGAGTCCGAAAGTGCTGAATTTGCTGCAGGGGCTGTCGTTGTGAGGAATGTGCGAGAAAGCGCCTGCTCCAGTGCTTTTCTGCTAGACCTGTCCTGTTCAGTGAGCACAATTGATGTTGCTGCAGCTGCAAGTTCATTTTGCGTGACGGGCGCGCGCTTTGAAGTGATTTAGTAGCTAGGAGCACAGCGTGCGCGCTTCATGACAGGCGCAGCATGTTAAGGACACGTGACAACACGCACTAAAAGAGGAAGCATGAGACGTCACCCAGATTTGCGGCAGAAAGCGTGAAAGGTGTGACGTGAGATTAGAACATGGGACATGCACGACGCTGGACGTGACGTGGTGAGAGACGTGGCGAGAGACGTAGCGAGAGACGTGGCAAGAAAGGTGAGCTTTTGGTGAGAGACTTGTTGCGCGACGTGCTGTCTTTGCGGCCTGGGGTGTATCTTGAGACATGGTACTTGCAGGGCTGCGCTTTTTATTTAGTTGGTATTTCGCACACACGCTTCCAACCTCTGCTTTTGATTTGGATTGCCTCTGGGCAGGCGCGCCAGGCCTCTTCACGGTGGCAGTCGGAGACGCTGCAGCTGTTCCAAGGCTTTGGTGGGATGCACAAGGCCATTGAGTCGGTGCGCCTAGGGTATTGTAGTCATTGTTTAATGTTTGTCTTTCAGAAAATTGTGCAGCGTAAGAGCTGTAGAAGTTGACAGCAGGATGTTTTGAAGCCTGTCCAAGGAAGACCCACTTTGACTCGAACGTCGGGCAGTTTCACCAAGCAATGCAGCTCCGGCACGAGCAGAGTGTGGCACGGAAGCGTCAGAAAATCATGCAGAGCCTTGATCAAATGGCCTTGTTTCTTGGCAAAGCGGAGGTTCCTGTTTTTTGTTCCTATTTGCTGGCTGAGGGCCTCTGGGTTGGGCGGAATGGGCTGCGTTCCCATGCTTCAGCATCCTCTGGCCATGCAACAGCAGCCAATGCAGCAGCAGCCGTGCCTCCAACAGCTCCCCGCTTTTGCCCAGCTGCCACAGCAACAGATGCTGCAGCAGCAGATGCAGGCGCTGCCGGCCCAGCTGCTGCAGCATCTGTCAGACCAGCATCACCAACAGCAGATGCTGCAGCACCAGATGCAGCAGCCGCCGGCCCAGCTGCTGCAGCAACCGTCGGACCAGCATCAGCAGCAGCAGATGCTGCAGCACCAGATGCAGCAGCCGCCGGCCCAGCTGCTGCAGCAGCCGTCGGACCAGCATCAGCAGCAGTTCTGCAGCTTCAGACGCAGCAGCCGCCAGTGCAGCTGCTGCAGCAACCGCCGGTCCTGCAGCAGCCTGCTTCTGCCCACCAGCCACAACAGCAAATGCTGCATTTCCACATGCAGCCGCTGCCGGCCCAGCTGCAGCAGATGCCGCGCCACCAGATGCAGCCGCCGGCCCAGCTGCTCCAGCAGCCGCAAGTCCAGCATCAGCAAGTGATGCAGCCGGACCAAGGGATGCTGCCGGTGCTGGGGCAGCCACCGCTGCAAGCGTCGGGCGAGCACATGCCACCAGGAGGTCAATCATCGCCAAAGGCGTCGGACCAGACACTTGGACAGGCTGCTGATACATCGTCGGATGCGCCCATGCTGCCGCAGCCGATCGTCTTGGGTGCCGTTGCAAAGGCGCGGGCAGGGCAAGCAAGACTCGGAGACCCCCACAAGCAAGGGAAAACCAGGCCTGCCACTTCTTTTTTGACAATCAAATGCAGACGCTCGGTTTGGAAACCATTTGCCCAGAGTCCAGCGTGCTAAGTAGAAGAAGCAGTAAAAATGGTTATGACAAAGCGCGCAGGCGAAGCCTGCCGTGAACACGCGCCTCCGCCAACTGAGGGCGGTCGGCACAATTTAGTTGCTGAGGTAGACGCTGTGGCCTAACCAGTTTTGAAAAGCCGCTGCTGGACCACATGTGAATAAGCAAGCAAAAGCCAGCCAGGGGATTTCACGGGCGGTGGTTAACGTTACAAATTGCTTCTGGCAGATTGTTGGAACTTGGTTCAGCGGCTACACGCAATGTATCTCAAGACGTTGATGGCCTGCGCGCAGCGCGCAAGCTGCCATGGCTGCCCCCTTAGACGCCACCTTTCTGTGGGCCCGCGTTGCACTGCAGAGGGCTTACCTCTTGCTAGGCAGTGGCCTTCGTCGGACTGCGCTCTGCCAGGCGAGGCGCATGTCGTCCCACTGTAGTGGCTCTGGGGCCGCAGAGCTTGCGCTGCTGGGCCACGCATGTAAAAACTGTTTTAAGTTTTAACCCATTCTGTAGTGCAGGGCTGGCTAGTGTGCGAGAACATTTGTGAGGCTGGACTTCATCAAGGCGGCTGCAGAGCAGATGAGGCTGCCTGTGAACCTTGTGCCCGTCGAGATTTGTGACCTGAGCTTAGCTGGCTCTCATTGCTCCGGCTTCGGTTTTTGGAGCATGAGAAGACAACAACGAAATATGCGCAGTGTTGCTACGGCAGTGCAGATAGAAGTCCGTGCTTATGACACCCAGCCTTTTGTGCCCTTTGATCAAGCATCATTCTTGATAAACTACTGTTTCCTGCGGGGTATAGCGACTCTGTCAAAACGCTGTGGCAGTAGAATGGTCATGGACAGGTTGTGTGCGGGGGTGCCATGAGTCAGAATCACTTTCTGAGCTTTTGACACCTCGATCACAGTCAATCAATCGCTTGCCTCAGGAGATAGATATGGAGTGCCAGCAAGTTCTATGGCTTCGGCATGGGCAAGATGGGAACTGCCATCTCGTGTCAGACCTCTACTCGCGCTTTGCCGAGCTCCAAAGCCACCCAAATCCTTCTGCCATCATCAGCAGCTTGGATGTTCAGCATGCGGCTGAGTGCTTGCAGCGCATGACAGTGTCGGACTATGCGCCGTGCAGATTCCACAACAGCATGTGCTACGTTGGAGGCCCGTTGGACCTTGACCGCACAGGCTTCCCCTGCCAGGACTATTCTGCCATGGGTTCCCGCGGGGGCATGTGGGGCAAGCACTTCCCAGTATTGAAAGCTTGGCTCCAGTGGGTTCTCCATCGCCAGCCGTCTGTCGCTCCTTGTTCTGCTGTTCAGCATGGGTACCTGAGCATGACTGATTGAGTGTTTTTTCTTCGTGTCGAAGATTGATTCGTCACCTAGCAAGTAAGCCTTCCATCCAACCAGGTTGTGCATGAAAATGTTCCTGGCTTCAACATTCTGCTGCTGGCTATGAGCCTCTTGGAGCTCTACTGGATGGTGCCCATTGAGGCGGACTCGTCGGACTCCGGCATGTTTGCCATGAGCCGGCGTCGGTCTTACGTTGTGCTGCTACACAAGCGTCGGACCCTGCTGCTGATGCACCCTGCATGGGCTTACCAACAGCTGGCCCAAAGCGTAGCGCGCCAATGCCAGTGCAGCTGCCCTTCTGACTTGTTTTTTCTTTCTCATACGGAGGTCGCTGCGGCGTTGGCCCCACTTGCAGCGCGCCGAGGTGTGCCCATGGCAGACGCAGCGTTGGACTGGCGATTGCTGCTAACCATGGAGGAGAGGCGGCGCCTGGCGGAGTTTGAAAGGTGCCTTGGCAGAGCTTGGCGCCACTTCAGCCCAAAGCTTCTACCATGCTTGTCGGTTGCCTTTAGGCAAATTTTTCATTTAGTTGTATTTACGTCTTCTGTGCCTTGCAGCTACATTTGTGTCAGGACTTGGCTGGCCACATTTGGGTACCCGGCTTCCTCCTCTGACTTTTTTGTGTTTAATTTGTCGGACAACCCCTCAGCCCGGCTCACTTGGTCCGCTGCGTCGGGCCGTGTCCCCTGCCCCCGTACAAATGGGGGCAAGCTCTTCAGCCCTAAGAAGCGCCGCTGGCTCCTGCCAGTGGAGCAGCTGGCAGCGTTTGGGGTTCCAACTCAAAATCACCACTGCTTCCTGGCGTCAGTCCGTCCGTTTCTTCACGCCGGAGAGAAGGCGGAGCACATGATAGGTGCCCTGGCAGCACCGGCTTATGTGTCACACATCTTATGGCCTGTGCGCCCGCGTGTCGCAAGTGTCATTGTCGCAAGCGCAGGAAATATGATGCATGTGCCGTCCGTCGGACTGGTGCTGCTGGCCGCGCTCATATCAGTTTCTCTCCTGTCGGACATGGGTGGAGAAGAGTCTTCTACATCATCTGAGGAAGTCTAGTGAATACAAGTGTCGCTGCTCGCTGTCCGAAGCCAGGCTCAGAGGATAAAGGATGCTGCCGCTGGTACCGTAGCCTGTAGTTTTGCTTCCATAAGGGGCAATATCGCTCATAGTGCTTGATTGCGGCATGTGTGCTGCTTGGGTCAAGCCTCGCAGCTTTTGCATTCTGCCTTTCGCCTTCCTCGGCTGCCGTGAGGCAATGCCGAGCACCCCAAAGTCAGGCTTGAAGAGCAGGAAAGCCAAGTCCAAGCCCCAGCCCAACAAGAATGCGCGAGGACGAGGAGTCGGATGTGGAGCTGGGCCGCGCGTCCAAAAATCTCTACACAGCCATCGGGTGCAAGCGCAAAAGTCGGACGAAGAAGGGGAAGTCGTCGGACTCTGGTGCTGTGACATTGGACTGGGTGGCAACGTCTACCCGCCGCGTGCGGGAGCCACTTGTTTTTTTGTTGCGAGTTGTTTTGCATTTGTTTTGGCTCTGTGTTGCCCTCCTCGCGTGAAGGGTTTGCCCACGTGGCCAGGCTCAGTGGCCACCAGCTGGCCGAGCTGCTCCATGTTTGCTACCAAGAGGGCGCAAACATGTATGTGACGACCCGCCTGACCAAGCCCCAGTTAATCATTGCAGTGCTGTGTTGCTCGGCTCGTCGTCAAAGTTTGAGACAATTTCGCAGCCACCAAAGTTTGGATGGGGCAGTCTTTTCACTGTGCACCCCTCTACTTCAACACTGTCAGGCGCGCTGGGCAGCACGTCGGACTTGGACTTGCCGATCCCCACGACCTACTGGCCGCACTTGAAGGACAGCACGGCGGAGCAGTTCATCCACAATGGAAAGGCGCCGCTCACAATTTACCCGGCGCAGAAGGCTGCAGAGGATGCTGGGCTGAATCACATGTGACCGCCTTGGGGGCCAGCAAAGCCAAGCATTGGTTGGACATATGTTGAAGCTGTATCTGGTGAGTTAGAGCATAGACTTTCTTGGGTGGCAACCTTCAGGTTACCTCAGACAATGTAGATCACATGTCACGCCGACGCTTTGCTTTTGCTTCTACACTGCGCAGCACCAGCATCATTCTTGCAAGCTCTGAACAGAGGCTAAAAGCATGCCAAATGGCGACTCGCAAGTCAGTGAACAGGCTTCGCTTATGATGTTCGATACGTGCTCCCTTTTACCGTAGTTTTCCAAGTAGTGGCATTTTGATGTCATTTTGATGTTATTTTGAAGTGGTTTTGATGTCATTTTGATGTCACTTTGATGTCATGTTCATTCAGCATCCCCATCAAATGAGAATGACATCAAAACGACATCAAAACAACATCAAAACAACATCAAAATTGACACCAAAACGGCATGAGCAAGGACATCACTGAACTTCCAGGCCTCGTGAAGTGGCGCGGGGGCTGGAGCCGCAAAACAGGGTACGTGGGCCCTTTCCAGACACCTCAGTTGCTGTTTGGACTCAATTCCAGGGCTTTGGATGCTGTGGGCCAGAATACGGCGCCAATTCGGCGCCATTCCGGCGCCATTCCGGCGCCAAAATGACGTCAAAAGAAAGCAGCGCCGAAACGGCGCCGAAACGGCGCCAGATCGGCGGGAAAACGACGTTGATTGTTTTTCATTTTGTGAGGCCGCGGGGGGCTGGAAATTTCGCCTTCTGCTTTGGCCCTTTGGGCTTCTACCTCAGGAAAATCCGCAAAAATCCTTTGATGTCATTTTGAGGTTGTTTTCGTCTAGGGTTGATGTCGCTTTCATGTCGTTTCCGAATCCCTGTTTCTGGCGGCTGCAAGCGTCCTTTCTTGGCAGACTTCGAAAACGCCAAAACAAAAATCCAAACTTGCAGTTCCCGGAAGCCCCTTTTTGGGGGAGCGTTTCGGGGCTGCTTTGATGTCGCATTCATGCCGGTTTCTGTCAGTTTTGATGTCGTTTTCGTGCCTTTTTGGCTAATGTGGCTTTCCCCCAGGATTGATGTTGAATTCATGTCGTTTTCATGCTGTTTTCACACGCGGCCCTTGCCTGGCCGCGACGTTGCTTTGTGGGGCTGATGGGTGAGACTTGGCAAGGTGCCATGTTGAGGTTCAATTTTGGGGGCCGATTGGTTGTGTCCAAAGGGCAGCAGCGCAGTGTTGAGGTCCACGTTGGGGCGCTGACGGCGTCACAGGTGAAACATGTATGAGTTTGAGGCACAGTTTTGGGGGCTGATGGCGTAATGTTGAGGTCATTTTAATGGCATTTTGATGTCGTTTTGATGTCGTTTAGTTGTGCTTTTGTCGCTTCCCCAGGAGTGGAAAGCAAGATTGCGTGAAGGCAGGCCTTTGCCCAGGATATGGTATGATGTCGATTTGATGTCATTTTGATGTCGTTTTGGCGCCGTTTTGCTGCGGGAAAATGGAATGAAGACACCATCCAAAAGAGGTCAGCGCGACATCAAAATGGCATACCGCTGCCCATATCGGTGTCAAAGCCACGCAATTTTCCGTTTGAGCCCATCAGCCCCCGACAATGGACTTCGAATATTCGCTTTTGACCACATTCGCTTTTGACCCCACCCCAAGCTGGCCGAGAAGACTGAAAATGGACATCAACTGGACATAAAGCTTAACGCCAGCCCTTGCCCAGGATGTGTTGTCATGTCATTGTGATGTCGCTTTTTCAGATCTTTCTTAAAATATCATTTTGTTGCTTGATTGTCATTTGGATGTCGTTTTCATTGTCTAACATCATAGGCGACATATCCGGGGCGATGGCCTGCATTCATGTCATCTTGATGATTTTTGATGTAATGTTCACCTTTCGTTCCACCTCTGGAGAAACAACAAGAAGGACTATGGAACAACGTCAGCGTGACATGGAGCTGATATGGAAACGACGTCAACATAACATGGGCGCGTGTTCTGGGAAAGGGCCTTTTGTTGTTACGTTGGGTTGCTGTCATCTCCACTTGTAACAGTATTTCTGCCTTGGCAAAACAACAGATTCCGCAACCCCAGTTATTGAAAGAAAACGGGGGGGGAGCTGAACCTTTTCCCCAAGCTAGAAAAAGGGTCCCAATTGCCCGCAGCCCCTCGGCGAAAAATACAATGGGTGTCGGGAAACAAGGTACTAACTAAAACGACCACTGGGCGACCCCCAGAGGCTAGCTAACCTTTCCCAAGCCTTAGCCCCCGACTCACAGTACTTAATTTAGTTTTGCCGCTTCTAGTAGTACCGAGACTTACTCTCAGATTCCCAGCACTTGCCCTAGGATTGCCAATTGCCAAGACTTACTCTCGCATTAAATTAGTATTGCCAATTCTAGATTCGCCATGTTTTCAAGCCTCACTTTCTACATTCAGCATTGTAAATGTTGAATTTAGTATCCCTAAAGAAACTCTCAGATAACCAGTGCTTATTCTATCGCTGCCAATTGTAGATTGAGCATTGCCGCGACCGATTCCCAGAATCCTAGTACTTTTGGTAGCATTGCTAATTCCTAGAAGAAGCGTCGCCAAGACTTGTTATCAGATTCCCAATGCTTGCTTTAGTATTGCCAATTCTGAACTGAGAATTGCCAAGCTTTACTCTTAGATTCCCAGTCCGTTCTTAATGTAGTCTCGTCATTGTCAAAATTAGCAGTGCTACAGATTCTCAGTGCTTAATTTTGTGTTGCGCTAAATTTTGAGATTCCCAGTGCTAAATTTGAAATTGCCAGTTTTACGTGTAGTAGCGTTGATTCTCAGTGCTTAATTTAATCTTGCCATTTCAACAGTGGGCACTGCCAAGCCTGATTCTCAGATTCCCAGTGCGTAATTGTCTATTGCCAGTTCTATTTTGGCATTGTCAAGCCTGACTTGCAGATTACCAGCGCTTAATTTGACTGCCAGTTATGATTGAGCATTCTTGAGACCTACTCCCAGTTTCCCAGTGCCTAAAGTAGCGTTGCCAAGACGCTAACTTTAGTCTTGTACTTCTGAACTGAGAACTGCCAAGCTTTACTCTTAGATTCCCAGTACTTGACGGCGCCGACAGTGCCAAAATTTAGCGCTGCTACAACTTATTCTCAGATGCCCAGTACTTGATTTAGCGTTGACAATTCGAGATTGAGCCGAGCAGTGCTGAATTCCGCATTGCCCATTCGAACTTGAGCATTTCCAAGGCTAACTTTGAGATTCCAAGTACTAAAATTGAATCTGCCAGGTCTACATGTAGCAGCATCGCCAAGACTTGCGATTCCCAGTGCTTAATTTAGTATTGCCATTTCAAAAGTTGGCTTTTATCAAGCCAGGGCTTCTTGTTGGCAAGCCACTGCGCGACTATTTGGTCTTGCTTCTACACAAAAAAAAGCTGTCTTAATTTGATGGTTTGGGCACAACTTGCAAAACCGATACTCCTAGATCTGAGGCCTTTAATTTAAGCCTTTGAGTTGTGAAGGGCATGACCAACCTGCTGAGGTTTTGGTCTGGGAACTTCCCTAAGCCCCAGAAAAAACCTGGACATTAAAGTGAACCACGGAACAGCCAAATTCAACAGAGTCAAGGTGCTTGTGGGCAACCCGCTTTGTGACGCGTGGCCTTGCTTTGTTGTATGGATAAACCGCCCCCAAATGCGGCCACAAGGGGCTGGGGGTGAGGGTCAGGTTCCCGCAACTACTGTAGGTTCAGCGGGTATCTAAGATCAAGTAGTCGCAATTTGGCGGATCTAAATCGATTGAGTACTGACTATGCAAACTCAGCGCGACCAATACTAAGCTTAATATTGACGACACTTAATATTGACAATACTTCGGTTCCCAGTTCTAAATTATGCAGCGTTGCCATGAAAAATGCGGGGTCATGATAACTGAGCACAAGCCGCAGAACATGAAATGACTCCATTGTTCTAAAATGAAACTGTACTTATAGGTAGCCGAAACTTGTACTACGCGTTCTCGGTTCAGGCCAGCCTGGGAGGCTACCTACCTCAAGCGCGCGCAAAATGTGGTTGAGGAAGCTGTCTGAAGGTGCGAATCCTGACGCACTCTCAGCCGAAAACCGGCCACTAAAAATAGTCCAGTTTGCAGGGTGGTAGCCCCGCTTCATTTTGCGGGGGATAAGAGAATCGCATCACTATGGCACCAAAGAAACGAAGCACCAGACCAGGTTTACTGTGGGAGGTGGGCCACGACGGCCAAAGGTGGACCATCGCTGCTCAGGCAATGGGACTCGTCAACTCCCGTGGAAATATTGAAATCAACTTGCTTGTTTGAAGCCACGTCTCCTGTCCTGTCTCTCGCCGCAGTTCCTGTTGCGCTTTAGGCCGCATCGCTGGGCAGTTTTTCGTTTTGAGAACGGACTAGGCCAGTTGTGTTGCACCTCTCGTTGCGCCCGTTGCGCCCTTCATTCTGTTGCCCTCGCCCTCCTGAAGCGCTGTCTCTTTTTTCTGCGTTGCTTTGATTGACGCCGTAGTCTTGTGTTTCTCAGTCAGTTTGATTTCGCTGTTGCGCTTTTTGTGCTCATGCCCGCTTTTGCAGGGACTGACGTCGTTTTCACATCGATTTTGCGTGTGGGTACTTTTCTTGATGTTGCGCCTCGGGAAAGCAACATCAACTTGACAGCAAAGCAGGCTCTTGCTCAGAAAATGCGTTGATGTCAGTTTGATAGCATTTTGATGCCGATTTGATGTCATTTTGATGTCATTCCCGCGCTGTGTTCCATCAAGAGGCCATCGCCATGAAATCAAAATAGCGTGAGCCTGGTCAAAGCATTAGGGCCTCCCTTGATGCTGTTTCGGTTTATTTTTCACGCTGCTTTCCCACCCTGGCCAAAGGAAAGTTGACAGTAGATTGATGCCATTGATGTCGAATAGATGTCATTTGATGCACCGTTTGCCCGCCCCAGCAAACACACCTCAAAATGGGACCAGTGCAGGAAACGCATTGCTTT